CAGTGGCAAACGCCCATAAGCGGCACAGTCACGGTTCGTCGCGTTGCCACAAGGTTTCCAACTCGGACTTTCTGAGCATGCTCGCTCGTTTAGTCGCATGGTTTCGGATGCTGTGAAACTCTGTTGCATCTCGAGAAGTGCAATCGCTGTCCCGGCAAGTGCTATGATCATCCTTGCTTGCGAACCTGCTGACAGTAGTGACGAGCTTGAAACATGCATCTCAGGGTTCAAGGAAATGTGGGGACCCCTGGTTCGGGAGGTTATTCCGCTTGTTTCGGAGGGCCTTAATTCCAACTCTGGGGGAATCGGCTGTCCGGTTCATTGCCAGGGGACCTCTTTGGCTTCCATCCCGTGCGCCTATCTGCTTGGCATTCTGACAGCAGCTGCAGTTGCTGCTTTCCTCTTCCTTTATCCTCCTCGACCTTGCAGGTAGCCGGGTAGCGAGGGCATGCGAGATGCGCTATGTCTCCTGCGCTGATCAGGAGTGCGGCTAATCCCAGCTCTAGCGTGCATCTTCACCACTCACAGCACCATCCCTCGCCAGCCATAGACCGCCTCCGCTAGCCAGTCGCCGTAGGGTTTGGCTCGAGAGCTGGCTAGCGGGGAGCTCGAAGAGGAACGCCTGAGCCGCTCCCTCCACACCAGCAAGGTCCGATGCACCCCTTCTACGTCCGCGATCTCGGTCGGGACACCAGTTCCTCCCCGTCGCTGCTGCTTGGCATAGCAACTCTGCGAAGCAGGGCTTAGCCCTGTTCCCTTTCCCTCGTCTCACTTTCAAATTTGCCCTTTTGGGTGGCTCTTCAGCGCAATGGCCACGAACATAGCATGTTCGTTCTCGGTCATGTGAACCCCAATAGCTCGAATGCTTCGAACTAACTAGCGGAAACACCTTCGATGTGTTCCTTGCAAACATCTTCGATGTTTTACTAGCCGAAACACCTTCGATGTTTCTAGAGTCGGAAGTTTGGCGCTAGCATACACTGTCGTACCTCGTATCTCGGCACGAGTGCGTTTCAATCTAACATCATTGCCAATTCGCAGGGCGCGGACCATCGAAACATTGCACTGCACCGAGCAAGGAAAGTAACTGATCACATGGATCCACTGGCAACGGCGGTACTTCTGTATTCTTGGGATCGGAGACAGCCCTCGGCAAGGATCGCTTGCCTTTTCAAGACTTCGTCTTCGCAACTGCAAGCCCCGGCCTGGTTGCGTTTTCCTCTCGAGCTTCCCCTTTAGCTAGTGCTTCACACATTAGAAGCACAGCAGGGGCAGTCTTCTTGCCACTAGATATGCTCTTTTTCTTCAAGCGACAGCGCTGCACCACAGTCGCGATCTGGAGCCCAAAATGGTCGTCCTGAGTTTGCTCAAGTCCTTCGAAGGCCAGGCAAGCAGCTTTGCAGATGACAGTCTTGACCGGTCGCGAGGATATATTGAGGTAATCCAAGATGAAGGCTTCGTAAGCAATCTGTATACTGGGGGCCCAAGCTCTTGTAGTTCGCATTTGCCTGGTGCATGATCGAATAAGGCAAGGTGCAGATGCATAGGAGATCTGATCGCGATCGATCATGACATATGTATATATAGGTATGTATATATATATATATACATATTGCATGTAACATATGCATGCATGTATACAAAAACTATATATGAGAAAACACTTTAGAAAAGCTTTCGAAAAGACTGAACTTAAGGATTCTAAAACTATGGTATATAAATAAACGCTAAACGGCGCATTGATTTAAAGGCGAATGTGAAAATAGAGTTCATCGATTCATCAGCGTTGTCCTTAGGTTCTGCAACTCACCTCCAGAAAAAGTCACTCCAAAGTCTGCTGGATCCTCACGAGTTCGCTGCATCAGGGTGAGTGTCATTGTTGGGAAACAAATTCCAGGCAATGGTGCTTCGAACTCCTGTGCCCGAGGGAGATCTTCGTGAAGATCCACTAGCTCCCATATATTTTCACAGAGACGTGGGCGACAAACAATGCACTGGATCATGACAAGTTCGACTCCAGCCTGGATTCAATCCATCGGTGGAAAAGTCAAGGGAGGCCTGGATTGCATTCACGTTCGCATAATCATCATCATCTGGTTTGCGCGCTGGAGGCGCAGGAAAATCGAAGCCTTCATCATCAGCGAATTACGTTTGTAGAAGACTGGAATCTCACACTCTTCTTTGCATAGGCATAGTCGATCACTACTCCGATGATTCTGCAACGACCAACCATCCTTCAGCAAGCGACCAAACGACAAGAGAGGAACATCGACAGAAGTAGCCAAAAAGCGCTCTGGAATGCATGCATGTACATGCATGCACTGCGCACCTTTCAGGTGCATTTGAGCCCCTTGGGCATCCCAAAGTTTCAGCCTTGTCGGTATTTTGCAATTCTCACTCAACCACGACTCAGGCATCACTGATGCAGCTGCACCCGAATCCAAGGTTATCTCAACTTCTTGGTCGGGCCCTGGAACATCGACCAACCTTTCGCCTGGCACTGGCCAAACATTGCCACTGAACACGTAGTCGGTGAACGGCTGATCATACCAACCCGCAAATGCATCCGGGTCATGTGCTCCATTGAACACACCATTTGTCACATCCGACTTATACCTACCCAAGACTGCATCTTGATTGTGCATTTTTCCCGCAGGGTCATCAATCTCGAGGTTGAAGTGCTCAAGAGCCTTTCATCAAAGCAAGCATCATATGCGTCGCCATCTTCGTCATCCTCGAACCACTGCTGAACGAAATGGAACCGGAGATTGATCTCGGGACATCTTCATCAACTGTCAGACAAAACGCTGGCTTCACCGTGGGACAGGACGTTGACTGCGACGGTGACTGCGCACATGACTGATTGTTGGCTCCGGAGGGCTTTCCCTTTGACTGTTGCGCAGATCGTACTTGATGTCCCGTAGCCAACCAGCAACTCTGTATTGAACGACCATATTTGCCGCAAACTCTGCACGGATCAAGCACTTGCCCTTCCCTTTGCCCTCATGACGATCATTTCCTCCTTGTTGCCCATTGGGCTTACCTTTGGAATCACACTTTCCTCCTTTTCCTTTCCCTGGATCTAAACGGAAGATGGGTCAGGTAAGTAGCCGCCTACCATAGACGTCGATAGACCCCTATACAGACCCCTATGGTTTTTCCATAGGCTCCTTTTAGGCCGACCTCCCAAACCATCCACGGAGCCCTTCCTACAGACCCCGGTCATGTTCCCGTAGACCCCTATTCATAAACCCCTATACATAGGCCCATCTCTACTGATGCTCCATAGTCTCTTATCACTGTCGCGATACGCCCTAGGCCCCTATGTATTTCCTTGTCCCGTTTGAAGCACTTTGACTTGCGTAGTAGCCACGATCCTCCGTGCGATGGGCCCGCAACCAGCATCTTGCAGATGCTGCGCCATGCGCGATACCAGATTTCGCGCACGGCTTTCTCGCAGCTCGGCGGCTCCATGCTGTGTTTCCTTAGCTTCCATTATCGTGCAGCCACTAGGGTAGCAGAGCATGCGAATGTAGGGGGCGATGGTGTCAATGCACACGCACAAGCAACTGAGCAACGAGGTCTTCATTTGAACGGTTTGTTCTACGCTGGGAAAGTAAAGGTCGTTTGTTCATTCAACTTTAACTTTTCTTCCGCAAACCAACCTTCCTTCCCGTTTCCAAGCGCAGAACAAACAATTCAAATTAATTTACATATGACCTCGTTGCTCAGTTCCCTACATTCGCATGCTCTGCTGGCTGCATGAGAATGGAAGCTAAGGAAAAGCAGAGGAGAAGGGGGGGCCAGTTTTTTTGGCTTCTTTTTCGATTTTTCTGCGCATTTTTCGGAATTCGGTGTGATCCATATACAAAACATGCAAAAGTCCCAGGGATGGCGCGGATGGCGACAAGTGAGGCTGTCTGCGAGGTCTTTATTTTCATGTTTTTCGGCCTGCTGGTCTGTGGCCCTCGATCGGTCACTCAGTCCGGCCCCGTCAGTCTACCCGGTTGCCTTCCGTGCCAGTTCACGCTCTGGGCGTCTTTGTTTTATGGCGTTGCGTTCTTGATGGCACGATGTTTTCTAAACCAAGCTGCACTGGCACGGTCCAAACAGAAGGCCGGCTTTGAGGCCTCAACCGAGTTATGTGCTTGGCTCGAAATCGGAAATGGCCAAATCGAGTTCTTGACGGTACGACGTTGCCTACAGCACGTTCACAGCTAAGAAAGTGGGGGCCTAGGAAGGCTCGGTTTCGCCTCCATTGCGACTGGGAACGGCCCTCCACATGCCCGGTCCTCTGCTGTGCAGGCGAAGACGGGCTCCCTTGCGCTACCCAGCATGATGCGAGTGCTATGCGGTTGGCTAGCGGATCGAAGGGAGGGGGGTGGCTACAGAAGCCCGAGCCCCCGCTAAGCTTCCTTCACTGACTAAGCCGAGAACGGGCTGAGGAAAGCGCTGAGCCAGGCCCGACACCATGGCGATGCGGCGGGGGAAGTCACAGAAGAGGGTCCCGGGAACCTTAGTAGTGCTGGTATTTCGTGTCCCAAAACGGTGCGTGGGCAAATGCCCCTTCCGTGCCTATGGTTTTGCTCTGTAACTGCGGTTTGGGGTCGAGGTTGGAATTGTTGTAGCCTTTCTTTGCGATTGACATTTGTTAGCTCACACTGCGGTTTTTCGCTTCCACATCCGAAAGGAATGTTTCTCCAAACAGGTCTTTCGCAGCAGTTCAGCACACATGCCAGCAGCCTTTGGGGTTGGCAAATGACACCACCAAGCAGCCGGGATTTCAGCCTTCGATCGCCGACACGTGGAACGCATTTGGATCCCGCTGGCCTCTCGTGCAGCTCCACACCGTCGCATGGAATATCAAAGCGCACCACTCAACATGTTCTTGCATCACATGCACGGCAACAAGAACTCAGCTTGCCGCAATTCGTCGTTCTTCCGTCCTTCCGCTTCGCAACACTGTCTCATGGGTGGGGCTTTATGCAGGAGTTCGAGCTACGGCTACGGCGATGCCAAGCCCAGGAGGAGGAGGAGCAGCAGATGGAGGCAAGGACCGGAAAAAACAACACACGGCATCAGAGCGTGGTTGCATGTGTCTTCGTGCATGTGGATAATCGTATTGCGGGGGGTGCGTAAGTGTTGGCAAAGATACAAGCAAGGGTGCTTTTTAAGTCGTACGAAGAAACCAGGTCCGACGGCCACAGGAGCAAAGGCCGTCGTTAGCTTGTAGGTTTAGGCGTTTCAGAAACACTGTCCATCGACAGGAAAAACTTTTGGTTCTTTACGGGCCCTATACGGGGCAAGGAGTTTGCGATCTTCAAGGCATGTGAATGTAGCATATGCCGCATGCCTCACCCGCTACGAATGGTAAACTCTTGGCTTACTCGCTCATGGAGAATGTAGTGACACACAAGCTGAGCAGTAGTTAGAGCCGATTGGAAAGAACATATGTGGTGATTGAGGCTGGGATGGTGCAGCCGTTGGATGTGAGAGGACAGGACCCATCCAAAGGTTTTATGCGCTTTTTTACCGGTAGCTTCTGCCTGTCAGGCTTTTTCAAAGGCACTTACACGAACGCGCGGGCTCATGACACTCCCGTGAGCTCAGAGAAGATCCTCTTGGGCCCTTCGGCCCACGCTTCGGCCGCTGCCTTCACCTGGGCGGCCGCATCGCCTGGCAGCGGCCAGGCGGACGCACGCAGCGAGCGCAGCGAGCGCAGCGACTCGCACGCAAGCCGCCCAAGCCGGCCAAGCCCCAGCCGACTTCTGGCTGTGCTCTCCCATTCCAGCTCCCCAGGCGGCCCAGGCATCGCACAGTCTGTCACCAGTTTCGCGCTTGCACATTCGCACATCCTGCAGCGGAAGGCTCCCGTGCTTTGCTTGTCGAGGGGTTTGGATTAACGTGGGCTCTGCAGGTGCTCCCGGCCGGAGAAGCATCGCAGAGCCCACAGGGGTCGGGCGGGTGACGTGTCACAAGTCTGTTCGGAGACCTTTGCTGAGGGGAAGTTCTGCTGAGCTCCAGCTCCCGCCGCCGCCTCGCAGTTCCCCGGCCGGGGGCCCCCTGCTGAGTCGCTGCCCGCGCGCCGTAGCGCAGAGCCCGGACCGCAGGCACGGGATGTCTCCGAGCTTCGCCCTGCAGATCTCAAGCTCACAGCAGCTTCTCTCAAAAGACTTTCAAAAAAGGCACAGTCAGGGACTTGCCGGCTTGCTCTGCGTGCTTTGCGTTCTTAGGTCCTAACATCGGACAGTCGCTGGGAAACCTTGCCGGGCTCCTGTGAGAGAAAGGAGACGGAGCCTTGCTGCCTTGGGCTGCAAGGATGTTCCACTCCGGCAACTTCGAGAAACAGGCGTCCGCAGATGGTTCCTTTTGCCGATTCTTCCCGATTCTTGAAGTGCCAGGCTTTGGAGTTCCTGAGGCAGAAGAAGCTCAAGGCGGTGTCTGCGCCGGTGAAAACAGGGTGTCGCTGGCGGATATCAGATATCCATGTTTTCGCAGTTTTGGCTCTTGGTGAGTTTAGTGATGAGAGCCCGCTTGGTCTTGGTTTTCGCGGCTCACCATGTTCATAGAAGGCAAGGCAGTGGACTAGGAAGTGGCTGAGCTTGTCATTCTGCCCCCCCCCAGCGAGGCTGTGCAACACACGATCTGCACAACGCTTCATCCATTCTTGGCCGCCACCTCTGCCACTGTTGATCCAGCCGTGTCCGAGCTGAAAGAGTGATTGGTCCAGCAACTGCCAATCCGCATCAAATGCTCATCGGTCTGTAGGCAGAACGACACTGAGTCACGGTCGCAATCGTTTTGAATGTCCTGTGCCTTTGTGGACCCGCATGCTGGGGTGCACCTGGATACTGGGATCTGACCCTTCAGATTGCTCTGTTTTCAGATTGGTTGCGATGCGATGTAAACACGTAGCAAGTAACCATGACAAAGACAAGATGCTTGACAAAACGAATCATATCCAATCAAGACCACCATGCCAGCAGGTGCCTGTGGAGGAAAAAGGGTATCAGGGCAGTTAGGGCCACCTCGCTGCCGCAAGCAGCTGGACCATCTGAATCTGCACCCTGCGTACGTCTCTGACCGCGTGGTTTTCTGTTGATAGCAACCGTCACTGCTGACAAGTGTTCGAAGGTATGTTCTGTTCCACTCCGTCTTCGTCTTTCTCCTCTGCGAGTCTCTGGTGCGGGTATGGGACTTGATGCAGGTGCCGTTGCGTTGGGTTTCGGGAGACACCCTTCTTCAGCTTTGTATGCGTCCAGAGCTTGCAGGCAAGCAACTGGCTTGATCCATCAAGCTTCCGATGTGGGGGCACTGCTATCCGTGGTGCACCGGGGGCCATCATGAGACCCTTACGCTGGATGGCTTTGGCCTGCCCTCCTGTCACCATCATAACTTCTCTGGTGACACTTCGCCATTTGTGGCGCCATCATGTTGCAAGAGAGCGAACCTTCGACAAGAGTCTGCGCTGGTATCCTTCGCACTCGCATGACCTAGCCATGCAAGTTGCTACCATGCCGCTGTACGCATCTCAGAGACAGAGACGGAGTGCGGCTGCACACTTTGACATGTCCTGAGCTGCAACAGAGCTTCACGTTAGGATTTACGGCGTCTTTGCGCTGGACTGCGTGATTCAAATGTTGCTGCTTCTAACCGGGAGCGTTTTCCGGGAGTTCAAGAGCGTGGATGTCTCCAAAGAGCAGCTTCGCCATCTGACGCAGGCAGAGAGGGAGCTATGTTGATAATTATGTGTCACAACATGTGACATCATGTGACCACAGAGCCCGAAGACTGTTTGATGTCGCAGGAGCGCTATGGGACGAATTTGGAATTGGCGGACCTCTACGAAGCCTGGGCATTGTACAACTTTGGCCGATTGTGCCTCATGCGAGTTCGCCGGCAGATCCGTTCCCAGCTTGGCAAAGGGCGTAGTCCTGTCACATCCTGTCGCAGAGCCTCGATTCGTTCTTATTTGGGTCAAGGTCAGGAAATCCCACTGCTGCGACGGTCTTTGACCATGCCAGAGAGCGAGCATGCGAAGCTGCTCAGCGCATAGGCAAAGAAGTTAAAGGCCTTTTCAGAGACACTTAGAGGCGAACCTCTCTCTCTCTCTCAAGGTTGCTGATCTTCCGGGACCCCGAGCGCTTCCTGTTCCGGCCCTTGGAGGTGACCACCGGCATCGGCCACTCGGCCCCACGCAACGGAAGAGCACGCAACCGCGCACAGTGCAGAGCGCCGTCCGCAGTGCCCGGCCTCGCCTCAAGAGCCGAGGCGTGAAGATCTTCGTGTACACTTGCGCCGTGAAGTCGTTGACGCACGGCATGAACCTGCTGAACTCAGAACTCAGACTCACCTCGTCGGGTGAGGGTCTAGACATCCTGGATAATTGGTAGTTGGGTTTAATCGGGTGCAGTTTGCATGGTTTACGAGGGATTGGGCGGCAGGCCGTGCTTTGGGCTGCACTCTCGCATTCAGGTTTGCGCTGACCATCACCTTCTTTGCCGATGCACCGTTTCACATCAATTTGAGCGAGACAGTGCCGTGGGCCTTGCAGCTGCTTCCGCACATGGATGGAGCCGCTTTCATGACGTCCACCATAGACCCTTGGACCTTGGAGACAGCACAAACCTAAACGATTTCAGCTCCTTTCTTTTCTGTTTTTTCTTTTTGCTCTTTTGCCTTGTTTTGTTTATTTGGAGGGGTGGGGGATTTTGGGGGTGCGGGCGGTGCGGAAGCGTGTGCTATCACTGCACTCGAAGCTCATGGTCCGGCGTGGCACTGCTCTTCGTCCCGGCATGTCACCTGAGGCGATCCTGAGTTTGATTGCCATCGAGCACGGTTTCCATGAGATCCTGCAGCTACAAGGTTTCGCTCCGGTTCTCAAGTTCCTCGGAGTGAAGGCAAGGAGGGTCTTTAAAGGACGAGTTCAGAGAAGTCGCTACTGGGTGCCGGCCCTGAGTGTCGCTACGCACCGCCGAAAGTCGCATCCATCCCTCACCTTGCGGAAACCTACTGTCAGCGCATACAATCCACTACTGTGATAACATCTTGAATGCTTGTTTATTGGATTTGATTAGCATCGTGAGCATCGAAAATTCAAAAAAGAAGCATGGATGCTTGAGCCGAGCACATGGAACAGTATAATATTTTGAGCCAATTACATGACATGAAGGCCTTCAAGGACTTTAGGGAACATACAAGGTGTGATTTGTCACTGACCGGAGTACACGTACACGTTGAGTGCTTTTTGCGTTTCATGCCAACTTTTTCACTCGCAGCTTGACTGCTCAAGACCTGCCTTGCAAGGTCCCAGCAAAAGGTCCGCTCGCACTTAGGGCAGTGCGGTAGTGCTAGTGCTGCCTTTTAGCTGTGCAGTTAACCTACTGAGGAAATCCAGTTGTAGGGTTGACAATCTGCTGCCAGCATCGTAACAGGCTTCGGTCGGAGCATGGTGGTGACATGTGAGATTGCATGGCCCGTGCATTTTTGGCTTTGAGGCAAGGCTTGGAAGACAACCAGCTTGGGGTCATGCAGGTTTTGCTACAGCTTTTAACATCAAGGGTGTGTAAGTGCCCATGTCCAAGTAAGTGAGGCACCGAATGCTCAGCATGTTCGCGCCCACTGAAGTCAAAGAGCAATGTTTCGTTAGAGCGAAAAGTGAATCAATTCGTGAGTGCTGTTTGCCCTGGAAGCTCGACAGCCTCATGTTATGAGCGCGCCCAAGACAGTGCCGCTGCTGTGCAGCAAAACGGGATTTCTGCAAGACCGCAGGAAGCGGCAGCCGTGGATGGAGTGGTTGGTGCCTCTACAGGCGCTGAATGGCGCTGATATCTCTACGGTGGCAATTCAGATGGCAGAGGGGTTTCTGTATGGTGACCAGAGCCAGGCGCCAGTGCTGGATGATGGAGGTTCAAAACAAGTGGTTCCAGAAAGGTGCCAGGCGGCTGAATGTGTCACTGTAGTGGCCACCAACATGGCATCGAGCTCAACTTGTGCAGTGCACGTGGCTTCGGATTTACAGTCGGGCGATCAAAACAGTTCCCAAAGAGCTGCAGTCGCAAAAAGATTTGGCAAGGCCTAGTGCAAGTGTGAAAGTGGTTCAGCATGTTGAGCAGAGAAATGATGGTGCGCAGACTGGCTATATGGCGGGCATTGGTTCGTTGAGGCAAGGTGCTTCGACGCAGTAGCCCGGATGGGTCTCGCGAATCGGAGGTCTGTTCAAGGTGCCGCCGATACCGAACACGTTCCTCTACCGGTTTCGCCTCCGGTGGTTGGTGGAGTGCAAGGACAGCCAATGGCAACCTTGAGGCAGGATGTGGCTGCAGAACTGGGCAAGGGCCTTCTCAGAAGTTTTTGAGGTTCCCACCCTAACAACACACCCAGCAGTAGCAGCGTCCCAGCCGAAGCAATACAAGTGGAATCGTTTGACTGAAGTCTCGTGAATGGAGGCAATGAGGTCGACTACCACGCAACCGACTTCGCGAAGTCCTTTCTGACGGGGAGCTTCGACTGTAACAGTCGCGTCTGTACGGACGACGTCCTCGCGGACGATTAAAAAACCTAGAGCTGCTACGCTAACTCTAGTTACCTGAAGAATACTTGGAGCCTCAACCTGCACTGCACTTCGCCATGCAGCTGATCCTGGTGTTGGCGACACAGTGCCAACGAAATTAGATAAGCTTTCCTTGCCTAAGTTGTTTGGGACGAGGGTCAGTCTTGGCGCGGAGCTGGGCGGCAAGGAGGGAGTGATGCTTGAGAACTTTGAAGAGCACCTCCTGCAAGACTCATCCACATGGACCTCCGTGTGTGAAGAAGCCGCTTCATGCACCATCTACAACGACCCTGGTCTCAGGAAGCCGTCATTCTATCGTGATTTTCTCCATCGACTTCATCAGTGCGGTGTTCTCACTTTCACCAGACGACCGAGAGGGAGAGTTGGAGCGTTCGCCGTCACAAAAAAGCCAACAGTGGTAGATGGGGTTGTGCAGGAGCGTCAGCGTCTCATACTTGATTGTTATCTGCGCTCTGTGAGGTGGAGCTCCGGGAGAACGAGAGGCTGTTCATCGGTGGAACCGATATCCGGGATTGTTTCTAGGCCTGTCGGTTGCTCGAAGGGATGGAGAGTTTCTTTCTTTTGCTTCGTGGGAGATATGTCGCTTCGAGAGATACGTCTTCATTGGCCTGATCTCGTACCTGATGCCCTAAAGCACCATAGCGATGAAGAGATGGTTTCTCCTGGAATCGATGGGGTTTTCATGGTCTTTCTATTTGGTGCAGAAGCTGCATGAACAGCTTACAGTCAAGGCGATGAGCATCAATAAATCTGATTTGATCCTTGACGCTAGGCCGGTGGGAGACATCTCAGAACAGAAGTGCGTCGCCATGCCGTATTGTGACAATGTACATGTACTCGGGAAAAAGCTGTGCGGAACGGAGCGTAAGCGGATCGATGTGTGCAAGGAGCTCCGTCAGCGGGGTTTCGAAGTCCACAAGGATGTTCCCGCTGCACATGTTATGACTACACTGGGTGGGGTCGTTGACGGTGAGCAGGGGATCGTCCGAGCTACAAACGCGAGGTTCTGGAAGATTTTTCCTCGGTTTCGAGTATTGCTTGCACCATCACGTGAGCTCAGATTTCGTCCGGAGGTTGCTGGGGCATGCCATGGTAGCTTGCGTGCTCGCCAGGCCTGTCCGTCTTCCGTGCCCTCTACGACTTCAGTACGAAAGGCCTGCCTAAGGTCAAACTTTGGAGAAGTGCGATGAGAGAGTGTTTCTGGTGCTATCGCTCCTCTTTCGTTTGGTAACATGCGGAGGGCATGGTCAGGCAGTCAGGCAGGGTTGCTTGCACAGATGCATCTCCTGATGGTTATGGCATCGTCGAAAGAGAGATGTCGCCAGAAGTCGTTAAAGACATCGGCAAATGGAATGAACGGTGGAGGTACAGGCATGGTGTCAGAGTGGAGGCCTCGGGAGCGTGCTCTCAATCTTGATGTCTTCAGCGACTTTGATACTGCTAGGGGAGGCCTCTGCCAAGGGCTGAGAGCAGTCATGATGTTGAAGAAAATTGGGAGTTTGAAGAGGTTCCTTTTGAGCACATGGATCCTTCGAAGTGGAAGACAGCAAAAATGGGCATGTGGCAAATTAAAATCGATCTGAGCACATCAGCTTGAAAGAAGAGCGTTGCTTTATCGTTGTCCTCAGGCGCCTGGCCCGTGATAGGGCCCAGCGAGGGAAGAGACTGTCTGTTGATGTTGGTCGATAATCTCACCCAGGCGATGGCTATCAGCAAGGGGCGAGCTCATGATTATAGGATGCTTCGGATTTGTCAACAGGCGGCAGCGCTTACCTTGGCAGCAGACATGTTGGTCCGAACTAGCCAGCAGAGGAAATGGATATCCGGGTCGAGCGTGTGGTGAGTCCCATCCCCGGGGCGGGGCCGCAATACCGGAAGTATTCAATCATCATCAAGGACCAGGACGGGACGCCCGACAATCCGGGGGTCTACGACAATACACTTGTTCTCAACAATCCTCATACAGAGACTTGGTTGGGCCCCCACATCATGTCATTGGCAAAGAAGGCAGGCTAGAAGAACCCCATCTTCAGCTTTACGAGCGAGCAGTTCCGAGAGCAATTCCAGAAGGCGGGGGCTCTTGTCAACCTGCAAAACCTTCAGACGTATCAACTGCGGCATGGAGGAGCAAGCGAGGACGTGAACAGGGCGAGAAGACTGTGGATGCCGACCTGCTTTCCGACTGGGATGGCCACAGTGAACTCCCGGCCCGCTTCTCACCGGAAAACCGTGACGAGGTCTCACTTTCAGGTTTCTGGAACATCAAGTTTGCAGTGACATTGCACCCTTCAGATGCTTTCTTGAAGTGGCAGCTTCCTCTGCCACACCAATTCGGGCCCTCAAATCTGGAGTCCACGCAAAGACACTGATTGGTCTTTGGCATCCCACTTGCAGTCAGCATAACGCGTGCGCTCAACCTCACTTTCTTTGCTCGGACGTTCTTGGCGAGGTTTCGGCTTGCCAGTTTCCAGACTGCACAGCAGCTTGCTTCGACCAACGGTCGAACGGGTCCTCCTGCTTTGGAGCTGCAGTCGTCCTTCCGGCAAGCCGAAACAAAAAGCAGAGCGAGTGAACGTCTTCTCAGTCCAGCTTTACTTGCTCTTTAAGCTGTCTCCAGTTGTCTTGCCAGCCCGCTTTACCAACGAGCTAGAAAGCCGTAGCCTTTGTTGTTGCGTGGTGGAACACTTTCCTGAACTTTCACGTGCCACTTGCATGTATTTATGCTTACTGCTCAAAGTTCCAGCAAAGATCATACTCACAACTGTGCACCTGTGTAAAAACAGACTCCTGCGTTGTCTGTAAACTTGTACATTTCGCGAGGGTTTATACGCCCAAGTTACATCTGAGGGAGGGTCGGGTCTCCAAACGTAAGCCGAAAACCCAGCCCCCCTTCCCTCCCCTCAAACAATCGTAGCACTGTTGTTTACAAACACCAGCCCTGTTTGTAAACACCGGCTTATTATAAGCAACAGCATTGTTACATTGTTTCTAAACGATAAAGTTGTTTGACCGATGCACGCCTGCGCTGCCGTGAAACCTGCTTTTTCACAAACGCAGGCCGCGCGGCACAGAAAACACGTGTTGCACATCGTTCTGCAATTTTCCTTCCTGGAGACTTGTATTCACACATTGACGCTTTTCATGTCTTTTTCAGTTCGGAAAAGTGTTACGGTGACGACATCGGCACCTTACGCAGCAGTAGCAAGTGATTGCACGGATCGCAGACATGTCGCGGCAGTTGACACGTGCTGGATAAGGGAACTTGGGTCCCTGCAATGTTTGTCCGGTTTCTAATCTTCATGCTTTACGTGCATCTGCAAGTGTCTGTTTGTTAGGTTATGGTCACCCTGTGCTGCAAGGAGCTTTTCGTTTTTCTTTGGTCGAATTTCACGAACCAAACAATTTTTTTCAGTCTGTGGGCATGGTGTGCTTTTGCTCCCAGCAGCAGGCCTTGGTCACCATCACATGTCTGCAAACTCTGGTCATGGGTCTCGTGATGCAGCGGGGGCTGTTGCGGTCCGACGAGGCGAGCCTTTGCTACGCTTGTCTCCTTTGTTTCGAAGTCCTGCCGCTAGCCCTGTTGACTGCGGAAGCCTGGAAACCCCGCTATGCGGGCGACTGGTACGATGCTGATTGTGGATGGGGCGAAGGCAACGGCCATTTGGGCCGCTTGGCGGGGGAAGGCGACTGGGCCGAATCCTACGCTGTGCTGCCTGGGGCCCGGCTCTCGGCTGCGGTCTCGCGGGCCTCTTTTATTCGACAAGAGGACCGAGTGCAGCGTAGAGAAAAGCGACACGGAATTTGTCCACCCGTCATGAAATGCACTTCAGGACTCCAAAGTCGAAGAGATTGGGTCCTCCGAGCTCGTCCGCTGGAACTCGTTCTGCGAGCTCAAGCGAGTTTGGTGACATTTCTTGACCGATTGCAAAGTCATCGTGCAGCACGTTTCCTGAACTTCCTGCAGTCTTCAGTTCAGATTGCCTCCGCGCATAGCGTGTGGACTTTTCACAGCTGTTAGCAGCAGCTTTTGCACAGATTCGTGCAAGTTTCATGAAATGAGTTGGCAGCCGCACCCTGAATGAGTGGATGCAAGTGTTCAGCACCGTCTCCGTGGGCCAGGCAGCCTTCGTCGGAGGCAGTGAGGGCATGCTTGTGTTGAGCAACTATCATGCACGCAGGCGCAAGAATCGGGTATTCACGCACAGCTCGAAAGCCAACAGAAGAGCCGTTGCCGGCGTTCAAGTAGGAAGGCCGAGCCAGACCTGGTGTTAAAATGGCAGAAATAGAGCTGCAGAGACATCTGCGCACTGTTGCACGGACATGGAAAGTTGTCGAACAGAAACGAAACTGCTTGCGGCTGCGCGCTAAGACCCGGCAGCTGCCAGCAGAAACCATCTTCTTGACTATTGATCTTAATGTGTTTTGGTTGAGCGTCTCTCGAGCTTCGGAGTTGGAAGCGGCGTATAGCCTTGATCGTGGGGCTGTACTGGCGGCACAGGTCGGTATCGCGCATAGCGAATTTCGGATGCTGCCGCACACCTCCTGCATGCAGTGACATCAGAAGATGTTCTGGAGGCTTTATGGAAGGTGGCTGTAGGTTTAGCAGACATCTTCCGGTGCTTCAGCACGTCTGACGCACGAATTGTCGACTTCTGTCGGCAGAGTGCGAGCTGCTACTCTGGCAGGTCTAGCAGCAAAAATGAAGGCCATGGTCGCTGCTGGTCAGGCCGGGGCGGGCAGACTTGCAGAAACGTGAGCATCTCGTCGTGCTGCGACAGCCACGTGCATAGCAACTGTGCCTGTTGCGTTTTGTCGGAGGCACAGTCTTCGGTTGATATCGTGGACTTGATCTGAGACCGAGAGCGAAAACGGGGTACTGTAGATGAACTGCTGTTTGATCGATCTCTCATTCGCTGCTGCTGTCTTCAGAATGTGACGGTATCACCGCTCCTTGTTTGCAATTTGGCTTGCACTTACACCAACACCACGCGACTCGACCTGCCAGCCATGCAAAGCCCAAGTGCTGCAACTACTCGCCATAATCCCCCCTACACCCGGGTCCCACGACAGAATCTGAAATTTATGTTTTCGCATGTTAGACACTCGACGCCGGGAGGATTCCAGATCCTTATGAAATTGCGGTAGCATGGCCCCCAATTTGTGCGCGAAGTCCTCTTGGGCTCGACCTTATGTTTTGCAAATTGGTTTGATTTGAACGGCCGACCAGCGATTTGAATAAGACTCGGCTGACCATGGCTTTGAATATCTGTTGAGCGACGCAAACGTGCAGATTTTGCCGTGCCTCCATGTATATTTTGTTGTTGGTCTTCGTGACTATCGTATGCTGCTTGTGCTTTGCTGCATTGGGCCCGAGTGCCTGGTGAGAACTAAACGGTAGCGTAGTGTGTGCAGTTGTGATACCTGAAACTTCAGATTCTCAGCTTTGACAGACTTTTTTTTTTGCTAGGCGGCGGAGCTGCCGTTCCAGGATATCATAACTTTTAAATGACAAATATGATTAAGATATTTTAATATTTTATATTTTTCAGATTTTCGTTTGTATTTTGAAATTTTGCATGGATTTCTTTATATTCACTATCTAGAATTACTTTTATGCCTGTCGCCTCGGTGCTTTTGTGTGCGCCCCTGGCTGCATAGGAAAAGGTCTCCGTGCAGATTGCGTGGCTACTTAGGTGCGGTTCTCTTTCTTGGGTTGCTTAGACAAGGTTTATCCGTCAGGTAAACAGGAAACACACCTACACTGCTGTTGCTGTCTATCATGGACAGTCTGCTTCTCTCCACAAGGGCAAGTTTAATGCCGATGAGTCTTTAAACTTCGTGTGCCCGTTGACCTATGCTGACGGTGGGCAGATTTGGATAGAGGATCCAAACGGGGAGATTCAATGCCCTGATGCATCATGCAACATAGCAGGTTCAATCGTGCAGTTACCGGATCTTTCAATCCGCGGCTTCGCCAGCGTACCATGCCTTGGTCAGGGCCACGGAGCGGTCGCATGACCATCATTGCTTTCACGCCAAGAGGTTTCAGCGACTTGCACTTCGATCAGAAGCTGTTGTGAAAGAATCTCGGTTTCCGCACTCCAGCATAAATCGATAACGTAACCCCCGCATCCAAAGAAGTGAGTCCTGCGCAGATCGCTTCAATACTGCTAGGGGGGGGGGGGGTTGAAGAAACACGACCCCCATCTTAGCAGTACAAATGTGCATGCTTCTGGCATGTTGGTCAGCGAGACATTAACCTACCCAGCAACTTGACTTGACTTGCATTTGGCTCACGTTAAAAGGATTGCGCGTCCGCTTTAGCTTGGGCTTTCTCAGTACTATAAATAAAACCATCACTTCAACTTTAAGTTTAATTCAACGCCAAGTAAATGTAGATATTGCAATTAAATTTATTTAAATATTCAGTAAGGTTACTTGCTTTTGTTCCGTTTAATTGATTATGTAATTAAATTTTGATTACGTTTTATAATGTAGTTGAATTTTGTTAAAGCGTAGCTGATTGTGAATTAACAAGCTTTTAGCAGTTGTATCGTAATTCAATCTAGTTTGATTTCAACGAAACTTCATTGAACTTTCATCAGCGCCAAATCGTGATTTAGTGGCATGGATGGATGGAGGGATGGATGCATGCGTGTATGCATGGAGGATTGGATGGATGACATGATGGTGGATGTCGCGCTGCTCCAAACGCTTTGGGTTTTTCTCATTTTCGCCACGATACCTTGGACCACAAACTGCGGCCCCAGGGTTTTGAAGTCAATGGAGTTCTCGTAAAGTGATGCACGGCAGGGTGGACCGCATGACAGCAACGGAAGACACAGATTCAAAACTGCAACCCAGGGTTTGGACGTTGCCCGTGATGCATGCTAAAGAACTTGTTGGCTGGTTTGAACATGTTTTGAATTTCATGAACATTTCGCTCAAACCAGTTATTTGACGCCAGGTTGCAATTGCTTGTATTCCGCAGGATGTAGTTCACTTGACGAGTTCAATTGTTTAGGAAGTTCATGAGTGTCAATGCTCTTCCAAGTGCTTGATGCAGCGTTGTCGAATTTCACGTGCAGTTCAGTTCCAGCTAGGGCCCGAGCGGAGTTTGAAGCAGCTGTTTGCGCTGCAGCTCTTGAAATCATGGCCGGAGCCTGAGGAGTTAACATGGGCCTCTGATTGCGGTCAAAGGGTCTACAACTTCATATAGACGAACGGTATAGCATGGTATATTATCCCACCCCAAAGACCAAAGTCATAAGCTCATACGCTTTTGTAGAACTTTGACGACTGGTGGGACATATCGGGTATCTGAGGTTTAATTTCAAAGCTATGAGGATGAGCACGGGGAGAAACTACAGTTGGCAGAATACGAAAGGCTGTGCTAAAGCTGCTAAAGCCTATCCTACGTTAGCGGGCCTCGGAATGGCCTCAAACCTTCGACACTCACCAAGCCATGTTCTCTCTCCCTGTTTCCAGCCCAACCCCGTAGCAGTAGTATCAGTCATAGTCTTTTGTGAACGATTGTGAAATCCAGGGTTTGGAAGAGTTACAGTTGCTTTTCACGAAAGCGGGCGTCAGCTAGGATTGAGTCTTTCTGCTTTAGCAGTAGGGCCTGGGCAGTGGTGGTTCACAGGCTTCGGGGGGGGGGGGGGGGGG